ATATTATTTGAATTATTTAGTTTCCGCGTTTGTGTTATACTAATCTATACCAAACAATGCTGAAGAAGTGTAAAAATTTTGTATCCTACTTTTTGTAGTATGAACGTCGGTGACATGTCGTTGATTTCACTCTTATTTGTATTCGTACGGATTATGATTAATACGTTTTTCTTGTGCTTATGCATGTGCACTGTGTTGAGGAGGGGCAAAGAGCGGACGAAGCCCGCGCAATTGCGCCCAGAGATTTCCTTCCTCGGCGTGGGCTTCAACCCGTCGAAGCCAGTCGTCTTCATCGCGCATGGGCTCGCCTCGCACACCCGCATGCCCTGGATGGTCAGCATGAAGGACGCCTTCCTGCACAAGGTTGATCAATTCAAGTGATTGCTTAGAATAATTATAGAGCAAGTTGAAAGAAATGTAAAGAAATGCTTGCAGTGTTTTAGCAGAACATATTTTTCTTCAAATATTTGTAACGAATGCACAATACGTGTATTACGTGTGACTTATATCACGTGTAAACGTAATAATAATATTGCAAATGATATCTAAAAGCTCTTCAACCATCTCTTCAACAATCTCTTCAACACACTCTTCAGCAAAATATATGAGGAAAGATTCGTAATTTTATAAAGTTCACGGTTTATAGGCTGACGCGACCAAGTCTAATATGTGATGCTTCTCAAACATGCATTTTATGTATCTGCCTATATTTATATATCACTTTGAACGTAAATATTACTTTCAAATTGCTTGGGTCATAATTATTTTTCTTCATTTTGAAAGGATCTTGGTCCCTCTGACGTGGTCCATGTAAGCTCAAATGTATATTAATTTGCTATTGACTTCCTTAGCGTCAATCAGACCTTTAAGGGGTTGATAGGGCCCATTTTGTAAAACGTTGTCCCAGATGGACGCCAACGTGTACCTCGTGGACTGGAGCCCTGGCGCCGGGGAGCTCCTCAGGTACAGCCAGGCTGTGTCCAACACACGCGTTGTCGCGGCCGAGCTGCGCAGGTACGCTCCGCGCGCCGCGGCCGGATTTCCGAAAGGAAATGCGCACCTGCAGAGACCGACGGACTTCGGGCACACTGGAGCGATTTGGAAAGAAACAACAGTTGGGTTATCACTTTTACTATACACTGAGAACACTAACCTCTTTCTGACACTTCTGCTCTTCACCTTGAGAAACTTTTTACAATGTTTTACAAGAAATTACTTTTAGAAATACTAATGAGATAGGAGATAGGGCCAGGCGCAGTCCAAGCCTGCTGAACCCATGCTTAGTGAGGGATAATTAGTAATCGAGCTGGCCAATCAGTGAGGAATGCGGCCATCGTAACGCGATCCTTCAAACCCTTCTTCTTGGACTTAGTCTCCCGCGTTGCTTCCGTACACTCTGCACAAAATGTTATCCAGACCCATGCCCAACAAACGATTATCGTTAGCCCCAAGACTGTATAGAGAATCAGAGTTGAGAGGGCCGCTTAATGAAAGCAAGAGACCCGCAGCATTAGGTTCAAGTTGACCCCTTATTTCAAATTCAAACTGTCTCCATCCCAATTCATAAATAATTAAATTTCCCGTGAAGTAGAAATATCTTATAATGATTAATTTGGATGAGAAGTTATTTATTTATTTTGAATGAAAAAGGTGTTCGCGGCCCCAACTAAGACGAGGTCTGGGGCAAGTTGCTCCAGCCCCCCCCCCCTATTCCTGGGTTCTCCTGACTAATAAACAACGTTGCCTCTCAACCTTCCTTCTTCGTATTCAGTTTCCCCTGGCCCGTGGCGCCCAAAGTTTGTAATCGACACTTCTCAGTCAGCGTGTTCTGCAAGCTTCACGGAGCCCCGATATTCAAAAGATTTAAAACTCTAATTGTTCGAATACGGCTCGCCTTTAACACCATACCGTGTTATAAAAGTCTACTTCCATTTTACAGTTAATGGGATTCATGTAAGACCTGTTCCAGTCCACAGTTCGGAGGAAGAGGTATCATTTGACGTGATTGCAAAACTGACCTTTTTAAATTCTTCCAGAACCTTCTAAGAGGATTATTGCAATAAAATGTTTTAGGGCTTTTAAGGTATCCTTCTAATCATGTGACCAATGGCTCATTTGATTTCCCTCGACCCCGCGAATCGATTGGCTCTATTTTTAGCCAGATCATACTAAAACATTTTGGCAAAAGTGCTTGTGATGGTTTCTGGTGAGACAATGGACAGATGGTGGACAATGGTGAGATGCAATGAACTACTAAACGGCCTTTCTGGCAGAACATGATTCCTTACTACTTGATACATCAGTTTGAGTATACTAATTAAACTTAATTTTGTAATAAAATATAATTTTAGAAAAAGGATTTTTAACGACTTCCATATCCGAATATGGCCGTGTTATATTACAATATTGTGTTCAAAAAATCTTTATATTAGCGCCGGAAGCTAGATCAACCAATAACAGTAAAAACCTTGCAAACACACAACCCTCTCGAATCCCTTCCCGTTGTTCATAGGTCGTAAACTCTTCCAATTTGACGGTTTGTGTTCAGCCCCAGCTGGACACGTAGACTTCAATAGGTTCTTGTGCTGCCCTAGTGATTACCTGTATAAGTATGAACGTTCTTAATCATATTGTTCTTGATGTTATTTTTTAATTTTCTGCGAGTGTATTTAATTGTAGTAGTAATTAAAAAATGCATTATATATAACAAATAAAATTTGAAGATGAAGATATATGATTAAAAATTATTACATGTTAGTTTAATGTTTCCAAATAAGTCTGTCATTCATTATTCAATGTAATGTAACTTCTGTGTTAATTATTCAGTGATTGTGTTAAAGTCACCCAAGTAGTATTACTAGAAATTATAATTGGATCTTCCAATTGGTTGGGAAACATTGGTACTGTAGAGAATAAGTCATATAGAAAATAATTATCACATTGTATACATGTGTGAGAAAATGAGTATGTTTTTCAGAGTATTACTAAATATCTATAGAATAACGAGCTTACACAAACTCTGACTGTGTATGACGGATAATAGTGCAACAATAGAAACAAATTACCACGTCTTGTGTGATGTTGCTACGTTAAGTACTCATTTAAACATAGTCACTATGATTCGAATGACATGTGTGAGAATTAAGGTAAACATTTATTTAAACCTGCTCACAGATTCATAGTGCACCTGATGAAGGTCTATCAAGTGAAACCAGAAAAAATACATCTCGTTGGCCACAGCTTGGGTGCGCAAATCTGTTCTTACATTGGCAAGAAAATCAAGAATATCTCTAGGATAACCGGTGAGATATTTCGCACGAGGTCAAAAATAATAGAAATAAGACCATTGCTTAGCTCCCTAAAATGTTAACGAGAAGTAGGATTAAAAATACAATCGATTTTCTAATTAATACAGTAGATTTCAAAAAAAAAAAACTTGTGATCGAGTTTGTAGTTGTGCAGTACGAATAATGTAGATTTGCACAGCAGTAATTAATACTTTATCGTACTTGTTGTTTCAAAACCAATATGCGAGTTCTATACTTAAGTAATTCGACTCTGCTATAGGATTTTCTTGTAAAATATTTCAAATTTTTGAGAAAAACGATCCCGTGAGACCTGCATGAGATTTCAAAAATACTTCTTTTGTCAAAAACATACCTCCTTTCTCAAGGGTTTTTTTCATTACATTTTGTCTTGATAAGAGTATTTAAGGGGAAGTTTGCCTTTTACCCATTAAAGAAAGAAAAAAAAATTGAATATAAGACTGGTTTGCAGTTTTTGCTTTATAGCCGCCGTACTACATATTTACATACTAAAGAGAAAGAAACAGCTTTTTGTGATTTAATTCAGGATTAATGTTTCAGCGGAAAGTGTGGATTTTTCCTCAGAAAAACTCGTGTAGTGGGGACACGATAGTAAAGTACTTGTAAATTACTTGTTAACACGTTGCGTTGTCATCATCTACGATTTGTAGATATCTACGATTGCCTGCCGGCAAAACATCTGTGTCTTTCTGACCGTCTGCGATCAACGCTAGCGCCTAAACCGTTCAGACGAAATTCTTCAAAAGTGAATCCCCCCGATCGATCTAGCGGAACTCGAGCTTCAGCAAATTTGAAGCGGAATTCACGTGTGTGTGTGTGTGTATTTGTTAACCATGTGCAATTTTTTGACAATCATCTAAAAATTTTAATTTTTCATAAATTTTAAAACCTGCCCAGATAAGATAGAGGGCTGAAACTTCTCACACTCTGTTAGTGCCAAAAGGAATGGGCAAAACCCCTGAGGAGCGATGTTTTTAACATGAAACACTGAAGTCACCCTAGAAGGCACCTTCCCACCTCGCCCGCGCTCCGACCATCCACGTCCTCTTTCGCCGCCTGCCACGCGCGGCTGCTGAGGGACCTCAATGCCCTTTGAAAACACACAGTATTAGAAAATATTTTAAACATTGTGAACACACTTCAACTTAATATAATTGTAGTTTTTCATAACTAGAAACTATTAATGTTTTTATTATATTATATTACATTATATATATTATATATCAAAAGGTATTCTCCGAATTAAAATCGAAGCTATTTCGAGTACATAAAGTAGTACTAGTAGAAAGGTTTATAAAATAGTTTTTGATTTATGTTCAAACTATTCGTAAATTTAAAATTACTTCTTATCGAAGGTAATACCCAAATGGAATAGTTATAATGAAATGTCGCTGCTATTGAAATAACGTTTCTTTTAAATGTTTTAAAAGCCCTCTCCCAGCAGTGGCGGATCCGGGAAAGGGGCACGGGGGCCATCCCCCTACCCCCAAGATCTAAAATGTTTGGTTACGTTCTTTTATTTGCAAAAAATATCATATACAAACTAGAAAAATAATACACAATATACTAACAAACGTGTTCCGCCCCTGCCTCCAAGGGGCTCTTGACGTTCTTGTGCGCGACGCGACCTTGACGAGTGGCGTGGGTGTGTCGGCAGCGCTGGACCCGGCGCAGCCCTTCTTCGAGGGTCACGACCGGCTGGTCCGCCTGGACCACGGCGACGCCGCCTTCGTGGAGGTGGTGCACACGGACGCCAAGCCCACCGTCCCGCTCTTCGGGATGGGCATGGTGCGGCAGCACGGTGCGGACGCCAGCCCGACCATTCAGCTTTCGCGGTTCAATGCTTTTGTCAGCGCTACAGGCACAAGTCGCGCACGCGACAAGGTCCACGAGTTAAAGCGTTGCGCAACAATATTCAACACCAAACTGGCGGACGTCTTTTCTACACAAACCAGCGTTAACTCGGATAAAAATATGTCATTAAGTAGTGGGCCATACTAAAAGAGCATTTTTAAGAAACACTAGTATCACTTTTTCATTTCAAAGGAGAGGCGAAAGACCATATATTTTTCAGTTGTTTGCCCTTTTTAAAATATTCGGAGTATGGTTGACAAATGTACACTTTATTGAACTAGTACAACAATTCATAATGACACCAGTGTGTCGTTATTATGAATATAACCTTATGAATATAACCACACTCCCTCTTCACTTTCACCGGTATCACCTTACCTTAAATCACATGTTTGATAAAATAAATTTACAATTCTTAATAGAAATGGTAATTGATTAATTCAATGTACGTGGTGGGATGACACGAAGGAGTGGACTGTCATGACGTGGTGAGTACGAGAATGAGAACTGGGTGTGGTCGAGAACTTAACTATTACTGATTTCTCAGAGCGGAAAAATTATGAAGGTATCACGAGGGCAAACGGCCATTTCCACTTTCCCCAAATTGCATTCTCCTAATACCGGAATGGTATGGGTGTCAATCTTTATATTATTAGGAAGCACGATTTTTCTGTACATTTCGTGAGACTTAGAAATGGTCTTACATGATTAGATCTTAGTTCATAAGCAAACTCAAACTATTTCAATAAAAATATTAATTCTCTAAATGATAATAGTTTATTCCGAATTTTGAAACTGTTGCAAGCGCCCCGGCTCGTTCTGTGCTGAGCAGAAAAAACCTTCCCTTCTACCTCACGCGGGTCGCTAGTCAGGTGACGACAGGGCTCGTGTTACACACACGTGATGCGCGGCGTGGGACAGGGTTTGAATGCTGAGGCCGTTGGTGGCGAAGCAAGGCCGGGCATAGAGCGCCCACGGAGGTGGTTACAGAATGCAGTTTAAGGGTGGAAGCAACTTCTGTTCGGACACCCCATTCACAGTTTTAAAATATAATTTGAATTGTTAACTTGAAATAAAAGTACAAGTGCAATGTACAAGTATATTCATAAGGGATAAGTTTTGAGTGTGATGATATCTATATGTCAACTCGAAACACGCGTGCCTCCTGCTTCAGCAGGTAAAAGTACTTTTCTGGGGAGGGGGGGGGGAGGATCAGCATTGTAGCTCAATACCGATTGTTATCCCGCAAGGTTGTTAGCCCTGAGGGTATGGCTCATGGGAGGATGATGGTGAGGGATGAAAGGATGGCACAGCCATATAGACATACACAAATAAACCCATAGCCGAGGCAGGACTCGAACCGAGACCGCTACGGCACTACTGCCCCACCGACCCAATCATCAGAGCTAGTTGCTTTAAATGAATTGGGTAAAATTAAAGAACATTGTTGTCTTGGAGCAGCTAGTCACCCGTGACCCCCCCCCTGCATCCGCCATAGACTAGATAGACTAGTCACACGACTTCTTATATATGGAGATGCACACCAACTAGACTTTCTGATAAAGCCGTGTTCGTCGGCCCGGCAGCCGAGCTTCTCGAGTTAAGATTTTGAACAAGTGAACAAGCGCAGCTCCTAAACCGTACACAGGTTTTTCAAAAAAAGGAAAAACCTGACCTCAATCGATCGCCGCTCCTACAATTTGATTGAGATATTTTCTTTTTAGGGGCACTTTTCACATGGTCAGTTTCTTTAAAACTTTTTAATTTTAAAAATTTAAAGGACGTGATTTAAAATATGTTATTGTATATAAACTGTGGTACCACCTGGCGGCTGAATGTTCGGCAAGCTGACTTCAGCAACCAACGTTCTCCATTCATTACGCCAGCTCGAGCAAATTTGCGAAATCATTCGTGGGACAATGAATTGATTACCAAGTGAAGTAACAGGTCTATGGCTGTCTAAAATACAAAAAAAAAAAAAAAAAAAAAATCGAGTGTGCGAAAGTTTCGCACGGGTTCAGCTAGTATACTTTTTATAGAAAAACGTTAATGTCAGATATTTTCAGTTTACAAGGGCTAATGAGAGATAGCTGCCAAAAACTATTTTCATTCACAGCATGCATCCTATTCCATTTTCAATGCAACAGCTTTGCCCTTCATCTGTCATGCACTTTTAATAATAAACCCAATGCAATTATTGCTAGTACAATGCAAATTCTATACTAATCCTACTGCTATTTTAAGAGCTTACGATATTCTCTTGGATGGGGGACACTATCAAAAGGAACAGTTCAAGAAAAGTGTAAGGAGTACAATGCTTTATTGCTTTATCAAATCTTCGGCCCCGTTTATTCTTTGAACCAGCCCTAGACCTATATGCTTAGGCCGACCTTAAACAGTATAGCTTATACTTTCAACCCACTTTTCTGGCATGCTTCGATTTCAACTTCCACTATCACATACCTGAAAATTGTCAATGTTACAGGGCACGTGGATTATTACATAAATGGTGGCTTTGCTCAACCTGGTTGTTCTGTCCCATCTCCATTTCCAGAAATAAACTCTCTTATCCAGTTCTGTCAACTTCAGATATCAGGTGAGACAATAAGTATTTGAAGTGAAACGAATATTGGAGAAGATGTGAAATATCGTGTTCTGTTGCAGTAATTAGTCAATTGGCGGCATGTGCACATAATCGCGCCACCGTTGTGTACATAGAGTCCTTACGCTCCAATAACTGCACATTCTGGGGCCACCCTGGACAGTTCATCGAGACTTTCCTCGAGTAAGTTTTGGAAATTACTTTTTTTACTTTCTCGCTGCAGAGTAGAGAGAAAGTTATGTAATGTTCCGGAGGAAAAACTGCGAATTTTCAGCAGAAACCTCTTATCACAGGGACCTAGGAACGAAAAAATTGATAAATCCAACTGCTAAATTTAGAAGTAAAAGTTCTCTAAAACGTAGTGCAGCCAAAATCCATGTTTTGGGGTCCTTAACCCACAGAAATCGAATGACGTCTGTCCACTCGTCCGTCTATTCGTCCGTCAGTCCGTCCGTCCGTCCGTCTGTCCGTCTGTCCGTCCGTCTGTCCGTCCGTCTGTCCGTCCGTCTGTCCGTCGTCTGTCCGTCCGTCTGTCCGTCCGTCTGTCCTCGTCGTCCGTCCGTCCGCCGTCCGTCCGTCCGTCGTCTGTCCGTTTCCCGCCCGTCCGTCTGTCCTCCGTCCGTCCGTCTGTTGTCCTCGCTGCTCTTCCGTCCGCCGTCTTCCGTCCCGCCTGTCGTCCGTTCCCTGTTTGTCCTTCCGCAGTCTTCCGTCCGCCTGTCTGTCCGTTCCGCCTGTCGTCCGTCGCCTGGTCTGTCCGTCCGCCTGTCTGTCCGTCCGCTGATCGTCCGTCCCGCCTGTCTCTGTCCGTCCGCCTGTCTCTGTCCGTCCGCCTGTCTCTGTCCGTCCGCCTGTCTCTGGCCGTCCGCCTGTCCGCCTGTCCGCTTGTCCGCCTGTCCGCTTGTCCGTCTGTCCGCCTGTCCGTCTGTCCGCCTGTCCGCCTGTCCGTCTCTCCGTCTGTCCGCCTGTCCGTCTGTGAACACCGCCTGAGGCTAAATAATTCAGCTTATTTTCTCAAAAATTGATATTTCCTAATCAATCTGGTGGATGTCGGGGCGCCTTGGATTTTAATTTTTATTTTAATTTAGGATGGTTTTACTTGAAATCCCATGAACATTTCCCAAATTTTCGAAAATTTCCCTCCATTGTTTTTGATTGAATATTGTTGTTGGATAGTGTGAAGGACGTTAAAGACAATGTTGCAGGTTTCATTTTCTTTTAAAGCCCTGATTTTTCGATTTTTGCAAAAATTTAATTTTTTTGGCATGTTTCTACAACTACAATTACGAAGATATTTTTTTCTTTAGTGAATTCTTTTTCCTTAAAAGAGGTCATATACAATTTGTGATATATATGAAATATATATATCAATAATATTTTATAAATATGAAAATATTATAAATTTTAAAAATATGAAATTTTGCTCGTAATTTTGCGTGAGAATACGGATAGTTATGTTTTAGCTCCACTGGTTTTTCGTATAGTGTCATGCTCTTTCGGAGAATACTGCTGCTCTCTTGGATGAGGATTCTTGGGGCAAACGGGGATTTCCTCTGAGAAGAGACGACGATGTTGGACTTGTCTAGTGATTAATTATCCAAAGGCTGTGAAAGCCCCGGCTTGAATGTCAGGCCAAGTCAAGAATTGGAAATCTTCCCCGAGGGGAACTTCGAAATTACAGGAGAAGGTGTAGGGGCGACGAATTGATGGGTGAAACAAATGAACGTCTTCGCTTTTCCAGCACAGTCTGAATAAAACCTAAGACTGTTCTTAGAAAACTTATTTTTTCAGTTTCTTTAATTTGATTATTTCAATGAGTAAACGTCCCTGGGCTGCAGCGTCATCAAAAGAATCCATCTTGCTAATACATGCGTATAATTTTCGGTGGACAGTTGTGGGTCGTTTCATATCGTTCCGTTTAATTTTAAGGCTTTCAAATCCATTAAAAATGACCACAAGTTCCTCCAACGAACTGGGTTTCTTCTTCTACTTCTGTTGCCCTGTGAGATGAAGAAAGACGAAAAGGGAAATGAGTTCACGACGTTAATCCGAGAAACGACTATTCCGTGATTTTAATCGACTGCGTCCTGCACCTTTTAGTATTAACCGCCCCTCGACGCCCCATTTTTGTAACTGTGAATGACGACTGTTGATGTGATTTTAATCGATCTCAAATGGCATTCAGGATGTCAGCGATTTTCTTTTCCACCAGGAACTCCCTTCACTTCGCCGCACGTCCGCGCTCCGCCGAGAGATAGTCTGGCCCAGCGCGGTACTATTTGACTGAGGCCTTCGCCTCGCCCGTTCGGACGGTTGGGCATCTTTTTGAACCATTCTCTACTTCCCAGGTCTGTTACTGCGCACTATTCGGACGAGTACCTTCCGCCTGCCTACGAGAAGTGCGCGCCGGACTCCTGCTCGCCCTTGAACTTGCAGAACGTGATGTATCCGGCGCGAGGCGGCTTCGTCGTGCCGTCCGCCCAAAGCCAGCCCTTCTGCAGTGAGTGTGTACTGAGCGCGCCACACCCACTTCTCCCTTCGCTCTGTGAATTGGGGACCAGGCAGAAAATAAGAGTCTAACTCATGCATACCTTATCCCCTTCCAGATAGAGGTGGACGGTAACACTTTATTTTTGAAGATCATTTTCATAGCCATTATTTTTAAAACACAACTCCCTTTCCAATTTTCCAGACATAAGATTGACATATTTCTTTCGAAATATGGTTTGGTTAAACTTGGTTTTCATTCAATTGAATCATTCGTGGATTGATTGAATGAATTCTGCTAATATTGCTTTTTTATAGTCTTTTTTTTAGCTAAAACTCTGTAACGCTGAACTAGGAATTTGGACTCTCTTCTAGTGCTTTCTGTGCTTTTCATTTTCATATAGCTAGTCTAGGGCTAGCTAGGCACAACAAAAAGCTGGACAGATGCGCGGCGGCGGTAGCAGCCCCCTTTAAGCGCTTACCACCTCAATCAGTTCTTATCGGATTGTCTAATATCTAATTATCGGAATATCTAATTGTCGGAATATCTGTCGGATTGAAGTCTGGTTTGCTCCATTGAATTACTCGCCATAATATGCACTCAGAATCATGATTTAAAAGAGAAGCGACGAATTTAATTTTTTTCCTTTTTTTCACTTAATTTCCGAGTTCGGGCAGAACTTTAATTAACGCGTATTTCCCAAACTAATAGTCGGATTGATGTTTTGATTGCTCCATTGAATTTCTCGTCTAGAACTGCACTCGGAAACGTGATTTCAGATAGAAGCGACGAATTTAATTTTTTTTCCTTTTTTCACTTAATTTTTGAGTTCGGGCAGAGCATTTTTTCACGCGTATTTCCTAAACCAATAGTCGGATTGAAGTTTTGTTTGCTCCATTGAATTTTTCGTCTAGAGCTGTACTCAGAAACGTGATTTCAGAGAGAAGCGACGAATTTAATTTTTTTCTTTTTTCTCAGTTTTTGAGTTTGGGCAGGATTTTAATTCATGCGTATTTCCTAAACTGTTGGTAGGATTGAAGTGTGGTTTGCCTCTTAGAATTTCTCGTAGTGAAGTGTACTCACATACTGAAATTCAGAGAGAAGCGACGAATTCAATTTTTTTCCTATTTTTTCACTAAATTTCTGAGTTCGGGTAGAATTTTATTTCACGCATATTTCCTAAACTAATTGTCACATTAAAGTCTGGTTTGCCTCTTAGAATTTCTTGTAGTGAAGTGTACACACATACTTGTTTTCAACGAGAAGCGACGAATTTATTTTTTTCCTATTTTTTCACTAAATTTCTATGTTCGGGCAGAACATTATTTCACGCGTATTTCCTAAACTAATTGTCGGATTGAAGTCTAGTTTTCTCCTTTGAATTTCTCGTAGTAAGTTGTACTCACATACGTGATTTGAGAGAGAAGCGACGAATTTAATTTTTTTCCTGTTTTTTCTGGTTTGAGTTGGTTTGGTCCCCAATTTACGTGTAGAATTTGAAAGTTAGTTTCGCAAGAAAAGATTTGGTCCCCAATTTACATATGGGCGCTGAAAGACAGGAACGTCTCTCGAGTCCGCGGCTTCTGGATCGCTTTGGGGCCAGCATTCACGATCGCCCCCAGTGATCGAGATCCAAGAGAACGACAAATTGACCCCATAACACCTCCCAGAAACTCCACCTACTAAATATGCGAAGGAAATTTCGTTGCTTCTTTGAAAATTAAAAGATGGAATGAAGCATGGCTTACTTAGTTGAAGAGGACATGAATCCTCAATAGATATAATACTTTTAATTGTTGTAACTGTTCATCATGTGAAAGTTCTTGTGAAAGAACATGTTTTTAATAGCCGCATTCATAAAAAACAATTCGTATTAATTTCAACCAGAGATTTCCGTTAGAATTATTCACTTGTAGTTCATCATAATTCTAATTTCATGGAGTACCTAATCACAAATTTTCTTCACTCTCCACGAACTGTTCTATCTTTTCCAAAAATGGAATGACATAACACAATAATTTGCGGACCAGGTTCGCTAACTCCGCAACTCTGCTTTTTCTTGTTAACAGGTATACCAACTAATTTTCTGCGCAACATATTTTTTGCTACAAATTTTGATTTGTAAATGATTTTTAGTGCGGTGAAGTGACACCGATTAAAACGTAGGAAATAGTGAATTCTCAGTTCGCAAACGACTGTGTAGGTGCGTAAAAAATGCTAGTTGAAAACACTTTCGCAGGTAATGAAGAAGTATACTATTGCAAAGCAGTTACAAATAATTCAAGAAAGTAAGTGCTGTTTTATAGCACAACTTTGTTAATTTACGATGGATATCAATAGTTCTTAATTTATATAATTCAGGTCCAGAAACGAACTTAACTCCAAATTAACTATTAACTTAATAGAAATTGTTATATATTTATATAATTATTCGTGGGGTACCGAAACGCCCCGTTTCGTCGCGTTCTGCCAGAAATTAAGCCCTGGATACCAGAAGATCTTAGAACAGTCCAATAAAACATAGATTTACAGATTTAGTTAGATATAAATTTCAATTTCATTTTCAGAATTTAACTCACTAAGAATAATGATTTATTGATCCAGAATTGGAAAACCTGCTTAGTTTCATCAGTTTTGGAGATTAAGAACGTCATGAATATTTTTTTTAGGTTTTCGATTTTCCGTATAGTGCAGATGCGGTACGAACTTCTAGGAAGTTCGTAACGTTTTGTAATTTTTTCTTTCGTGTAATCGCAGGGATTCATCTAGTGAGTTATAATTGATGAATTAATTTTAAATACTTAAATGAGCAAATGCACATAATTGCTTAACTCTTATTGCAGCGGATATTTCCTGTGGAAACGTGTCTCGCTGATATCTCTTCCACAATGTTCTCCGATAACGTAAGACACAATGATCTCTCAAGATATCTATTAACCCCTGCACGTATGTATAGGAGTTCCTGACCAAAACAGGCATCATCTGTCAATGCTATGATTTAAACTCCATACTTATCTAATTTTTCATTTAGAATTACAGTAGAATCATACGAAATTCCTCAAAAAATTTAATTCACTAGTAAGTGGTCTCTCAAATGCAAAGGAATACCATTGCCACGTAAAGCTGAAGTATAGACACAATGTATGTATGTATGTGTATATATATATATATATATATATATATATATATATATATATATATATATTCACACACATACATACATCATGCAAAGTGGCTCAGTGCGTAGCGCGCTGGATTCGCAATCGAGAGGTCCGGGTTCCTGACAGATTTCGTGGTTTTCCAAGGTCACAAACGCGGAAACCGGGGTGGTTTCAAAAGCCCATGAACTCTTCCCACTACCCTATCTGACACCTCCTACCGAGAGAGAGAGGGAGGGAGGGGAGAGAGAGGTGTTTCCTGATCAGTAGTGGCCCATACGCGAATATATATAGTATAATTTGTTGTCTCAGGCCAATTTTTGAAGACGAAGATGAAAGAAAACAGATGAAGTGATATATTCAATTGTGTTTAAAAACTGTCCAGAGACAACAAATTGTATTTAAAAAGTACGTAACATGATTGCTCTATTAAAAGCGCAGTAAGCATAAAAATCTCTAACTTTGACTACATTTTAATTGAGATAATTTTTTTAGAAGATGCAATTTCTACCACACTTCGTTTTAATTGCTAACAAAATCAAAAGTTGTTCTCGCAAATATTTTTATATGTCTCCGACCTTATTATGCATATTTCCATGATGTGGTTTCTCGTATTTCAGTTGTTGAACCAGAAGTGGATGACATCATGAAGGACATGGAAAAAGCTGTGGAGACATTTCGAAATTTCACTCATGATTACAGCACTAAAGTCCGAGCATCCATATTCCGGAGAGTTGAAAAAGTGGGCAAAACCGTCGGCCGGAAAGTGGGCAGTATGGTGAGGAGCGTTCCAGGATTGTCGTGGATTCTTGGTTGACTCTTCCTGGTCGTACCTTTTTTGTTTTAGAACAAGTTGAAATAAATACATCGTAAAAACACTAATAGCAACTTATTTGTGACATAGTAGATATTTTATTTTGCTTCAGAAAATCAGCATTGGGTGCGGCAAGGGTGACTAATTTTCATAAATGCAATGAGTCGATGGAATACAAAACTGTATCTCTCTAAAGGAAAACAAACCATCCACACAGATACGGATCCGCCAAGGGATTTTCCAGGGGAATTTTTTAAGCCCTTTATTGTTCTGCTTAGCTTTGAATCCCCTGTCTACTCAACTAAATTCGTCTAAATATGGCATCGCTCTTAAAAATGGGAACTCAACTCCTCTTCGTGTCTCACATCTTCTTTACATGGATGACCTGAAGCTCTATGCAGACACTGAGTCATATGCAGCAACTAATAAACACTGACGACATCAAGATGAAATTCGGTTTGGATAAGTGCAGGAGAGTGAATATCATTCGGGGTCATATGCAAGTTATAAATTTGTAAAGTGACAATGAACCAAAGATTACTTTCATAGAATCCCTTGAAACTTACAAATACTTGGGTTTCCAAAAGTCACTCCAAATCAAACACACTGTTACTAAAAACATAATAACTTACGTGTGTAAACGATTGCATGGACTCTTAAAAACACAACTCTCTGCTAGAAACCTTGTGTAGGCCATTAATTCATTTGCTATTCCAGTGCTGACATACTCCTTTGGCGTTATTAAATGGACCAATACCAACCTCGACAACCTCCAGAGGACAATTCGAACCGCTATGACTCAACACCGAAAACAACATCCCCTTTCAAGTACTGAGCGTTTTACCCTTCCAAGATCGCAAGGAGGGCGAGGTGTTGTAGATCTCATAAATCTACGCAGCTCTCAAATTGCATGACTCAGAAGATACTTCCTGGAACAGTGTGGGAGAGTTCAGCAAGCAGAGAGATTATACCATCCATTCTGACTCGTGTAGAAGATGTGAGGCTGCAAGCGAAACTATCCAACACGTGACAAGTGGATGTAGCAGCCCCGCATAGTTGGAATACAAAAGGCATGATGAAGTGGCGAAGCAGGTCTACTAATTATTGGTATTGAAAATGCGCTTACTCGCCACTTTCGGGCCGTATTATAAATATGTGCCTTAGCACGTGCTTGAAAGTAGTGAGCACACACTCTATTGGGTACTACTACATTATCACTGACAGACACGTCAGCGGCAATGAACTCGATATAACTTACATTTATAGAAACCATCAGCAGGGTTTCCTTATCGATATATCAGTACCCAATACCCACAACATATCGGGAAAATATCAAGAGAAGATCCAGAAGTATACCGATGTCGCCCATGAAGTCGCAACGCAGTGGAACATCAGTAAAGTGACAACTGTGTCTATAATAATATCAGCTACAGGAGTGATCCCGAAAATGACACTTCGGGCACTGGAGTGTATTCACTTGGATGCCAGGAGTGTATACAATATGCAGAAATCAGTCATCTTGAATACATGCCATATTGTCAGAAGCCATCTGAATCTTCAGTAAAGCAACCGCACACCTGTTCATCATTCCTGTGTGTGGTTGACTTACCGACCAGTAGATACTGTGAATAATAATAATAATAATAATAGTAATAATAATAATAATTTATTTCCAAAAGAATTACATTGACAGTGTACAAAAACTATCACCATAAAAACAATAAGAAAGAATACCAATTTTGTTTGACTAAATTACATCCTGTTTAACCTTTCAGTAAAAATACTGGTCTTATCAGGTTTAAATTTAAATATATATATTAAATTTATTTTATCCTATTCAGTACACTTCAAACCCTCTCTAAGTACTTTATGTACATGTCAGAGAGGATTGTGTTACATTGTATGTTTGTTTTGTTTTGTGTTTTGTTTTTTTGTATTACCGTTGTTGATTACAGTTCACCCCTCATCTGTACTATTTGCGAGTTACTGTATGATGCGTGAATTGTTTCTATTGAAATTTAGATTTTTTTTCCAAGGATACTCAACAGGCAAAAATAAATCAAAATCATCAAATTATCTAAAATAACAAATAAACTGTAAATAAATAAAAAGATGTCAGTTGGCAACAGGCTAAAATGAAAATTAAGTTAATTAACAGTTTGAAAATTTCTAGTGATAAATCAACAAGCAAAGCAAAATAAAATTATCTAAATTAACAAATCAAGAAACAAATAGAACTTATAAGCCAAATGGGAGCTGACATTTATATGAGTTAAATTGTCCAATTATAAATAATTAGGAATTAAATAATAGGACACAAAACCAAAAATCATTCCATACAGTGAGCAATTAACAAAACTGAATGAGAATTACAGGAACATTATACATTTTTTTACAAATTATCATCTTGTGATGACCACTGTTTACAATATGAAGATTTAGCTGTACATAATTAACAACATAAAATCTTGTAATGACAAAACTCAACAGGCAAAAAGAAAACAATCATCCAATTATTCTCTAAACTAACAAATGGATTGTAAATAAATGAAACTAGATGGCAGTTGGCACCAGGCAAAAATGAGTATTAAGTTACACTTAATTAGCATGCTGAAGACTTGTAGTGGCAAATAAAATCAACAAATAATATGACACACAAACAAAGCTCGTCTATACAGAGACCAATTAACACTTGACATAATTACTAGTTGACAAATTACAATCAAAATATTATCCAAAATATAAAACAAAAATCAAATAGAATAACCAAATAAAAAAACAAACAATAAAACTGAATGAGAGTAACAGGAACATTATACATTATTTTCAAATTATCATGTTCTGATGACAGCTTGAAGATGTAGTTGTACATAATTAACAACAAAAAATCCTGCAATGACCAAACTCAACAAGAAAAAAGAAATCACAATCATCCAATTATTATCTTAACTAACAAATGGATTGTAAAACAAAAATGAAATAGAATAACCAAATTAAAACCAAATAACTGAATGAGTGTAACAGGAACATTATACGTTTCTTACAAATTACAATCTTGTGGTGACGGTAGTTTACAGTATCAGTGAAGATTTAGTTGTACACAATTAACAAAATAAAATCTTGTTATGACAGTATAGCAGTTAATAACTGACAAAAATGAGATTTATATTGTACTTAATTTACATATTAAAACCTTGTAACGACATAACAAAAATCTTTAAAAAAATTCCCCCCCCCCAAAAAAAAAATATTTTCTTTAAATTAGCAAATAAAGTATAAAAAAAATGGCAATAGGCAACAAGCTAATGAGATAACTCCTGAGCTTTCTATTTTCATGTCATGCCTAGTATCTTGTGTACCATTCTTTTAATTTTGTTTTTTCAATTCCGTTTTAGATGTAACTTCTAATATTTCATCCGGCATTGAATTCAGCAGTTTTGGAATGTCTGTGTTAAGCATCCTCTCACCAAATTTATTACAAGTTACTGGAAGTAAGAAATTGTGTTTTTTTCTAGTTTCATAGCTGTGCCCACTGATTTTTCTGTATTTTTTCATTGAACAATTTTTTTTGCAGAATTTGAAATTCATACACTTTTTTAACAGTCATGATTCCAAGCATTGCTGCACTCCCTTCCAGGGTTAGGTTTGTTATGCCCATTTTTTCATTAAGGCTTTTAATACATTTATTTTGTAGGTTCTGTATAATATCTACATGTGATTTTGCTGCAGTCCCCCCACACTCCAATTCCATACCTGATCAGAGACTCTAATAATGGGAAGTAGACCAATTTGAAAATTTTAAGATACAAAATATTTAATTCTCCATTAGTTTCCAAACACATGTTCTTATTTTCTTGCTTAATTCCAAGATCTGGTCCCTCCAACTCAGATTCTGTTCGAAAGTTACACCTAAATACTTCAATTAGCTTACAGAATTAATTATATTATTACATTGACAGTTCTTAAAGTCTTTGTGAATGCGGTCAGCTTTGTGAAAGAATATTTTAACTTGTGCTCTTGCAATTTTTGGAGATATGATATGCAGTATTCTAGTCTTTTTCTCATTTATTCTTAAATCATAGCACCATTTAATAGCTTTACTTTGTACAATTCATTAGCTGATAAGTTTTGAAGACTAAATCCATTTAGGTTCATTAGTTCTTTTAGTAGTTTACTTTTGCTTATAAATTCATTTCTTTTTGTTATATTTTCAAGAACTATCTTTTTATTTGTGAAATTACATGAGATTCCAATTAAATAATGATCTGTTATCTTGCTTTCTAGTATGAATGGGATTATGTCTTCTCGTTTCCACTAACAGCTATTAAATTTGGAGTATTCCAAATTTCTCCTGTAACTCCATTTCTACCTTCTTTTGGTCTCTGTTCATAGATAATAGCATCTTGTCATCCAGATAAATATAATAGGAACCATTTTCTAGATAATTTTTCAAGTCCTTCACAAATATTAGATAAAGTATAGGTCCTAGGAAACGTCCTTGTGGAATTACCTTTTTCACAGCCTTTATTTCACTATAAGTGTTATCTATTTTGATCCTAAATTATCTTCCTTCTACATAGTTTTTAAATAACTGTAAAACTTTGCCTCTAACCCCCTATGCTTTCCAGTGCATCTATCATCTTTTCATGGCTTATTACATCGTAAGCTTTTGACAATACTCAATGCTATCACAAGCAATCCCTAGTGTAATTTTTCATTTAATACTTCTCCTAGATTTTCCAATAAGTCTATGATGCTTTTGTTTTTTTGAAATGCAAATTGATTGTTATCTATTATTTTATATTTTTCCAGGTAGTTGGTCAATCTTTGCAATATGTAATTTTTGAATATTTAACTTATTGTATTTAATATGGAAATTGGTGTATAGTTTTCATAGATTGAAAGACTGTCTCCTTTATGTATTGGTCTGATAATGGAGACTTTTAATTCATCTGGTAAAGTTCCCTCATTAATGCTTGAGTTGATTATTTTCATTATAATTGGTGTTATTGAGTTGCTGTTCAGTTAGCTATTTTCTGAATTCCTGGAGCTTTATTACAGTCCATCCCTTTAATTAAAAAACTAGTTTCCTCTAATGTGATTTCAGGTAAATAAAAAGAGTTACTTTATGTTATTACGTTTTTTGGCAGGACTGCTAGGTTACATTTATGTACAATGTCTTCCGTCTGTTGTTGAAAAGTGATAGCAAATCTTTCTACTATATGTTCAATTCAGTTACTTTTCCCTAAATTTTTTATTATGACTTCATCTAAAGATTTTTTCTCTGGTACACCAAGTAGTTTATTTATTGTTTTCCAAGTGTTTTTAATGTCGTTTCTGCTATTTTCAAATAGTTTGTTAAATATTCTTTCTTTAGCTGCTAGATTTTTTTAAATGTCATTTCTGATTTTTTTTTTTATTTATTCTTAGTGTGTCTTTTAATTCTTTATTTTTGACTGAACAAGTTATCTCTTTGATTAATCAGTTCATTGATATCCGAGTTTATCCAGGGTTACAATATTACCTTCTTTCCACTATTAGTAGATTCTGTAGAGACAAATGCTTCATCATATACATTTTTTATTACTTTGTACAATTCATTAGCTGATAAGTTTTGAAGACTAAATCCATTTAGGTTCATTAGTTCTTTTTGTAGTTTACTTTTGCTTATAAATTCATTTCTTTTTGTTATATTTTCAAGAACTATCTTTTTATTTGTGAAATTACATGAGATTCCAATTAAATAATGATCTGTTATCTTGCTTTCTAGTATGAATGGGATTATGTCTTCTCGTTTCCACTAACAGCTATATGATCAATACATGAGCTCACTACTTTATCATTTTTTATTTCAACTCTGATCTTTCTTGATACAGTGCACAAACTGGTGATCTTACAAGATATCTATGTAATCAGTAATTTTTTAATCATTGCTGATGTTTATGTTACAATCTCCAATTATTATTATGTTCATATTTTTATCTGTATTTAAAATTTCATTTAGTTCTTGTAAATAAAGAATTTGGCTTTTGTTAGATGGTCTATAGACTGCAAATATGCTTAATTTGATTTTATTATTTATTTCTAAATGACGTGCTAATACCTCAAACTGATAACTTACCAAATCCACAAGTTCAAATTTGTACATTTCTTTTACAAATAGCATTATGCCTCTTCCTTCTTTCTCTTCTCTTGTTTTTATGTATCTATTAAAATTTGGCAAATGATATTCTAAACGGTTGTCATTCTTTATGACATTAATTTCACTCAAGACAATCACATCCATATTTTGAAAGCTACCTCTTATAACTCCACAAAATTCATCCCAATGCTTACTAATTGATCTTATGTTTAAATGAATTAAATTTTTCTTTATTTGCTATTAATTACGTGATTAAGATCCTTAATGTGGTTGTAAATTTTAGTTTCTTGAATCTCTAAATTATTAATAAAGGGAATATCCATAATTGTTTTTGTTTGATCTTACCTCTGTATTTCTGTTTAATTAATTTATTCCAAATCTTCCTCACACCTTATTCTAATCACATCACATTACTTCCCTCGTTTTTTCTCATTAATACTTTACCATTTTTAACCCAGCTAAATTGATAATTTTTTTCTTTGGTCTTATTTTTGGCTTTCCATAGAAGATTTTCGTTATATGGCGTTAAATTCTCATGAATATACAAAGGTTGATCATCCCCATTTTTAAATAAGTCCTTGTTTTACATTTTCTTTCTTTTGCCGTTTAGGATTTTGTCTCTAACTTTTCTTGAGTTGAATTTGACAATTACTTTTAGTTTTTGACGTTTCATGTTGTTTATTCCATAAACTTTAGTAATGGTAATAATAATAGTAGTACTAGTAGTAGTAGTAATAAAAATAATAATAATAATTATTATTTGGGCATGAATGCAGCACGTCATTGGCAGATTATATTATAAACTCTTACTTGATGTCTTATTATTTTAATTCAATATACCCATTGTAATAGCAATCCTATTTGCGGGAACTCATATAAAGGCTATGGACATGAGTACAGGTCAATATTCTGGGCGACAATGCTCAATGTGTAACCAGAGCTACGATGCATAAATTCATTCATTAACAATGTAGCGACAATAACTGACGAACTACTTAATGATGTACTGCCAATTAAAGATTTACAGCTTTTACTCTTGTCTCTAGTCTTTAACAGAGGGTAGAATATAAAACCTGGAGTTGTAACAAAGCACCCTGGTTAGAAGATTATGTAGATGACAAGTGTAGAACTAACCAGATTTCTTGTGAGTTCTTAGTTGAATATTTCACAATCCAGCTAGTGGTTCATGTGCAGTAAGAATCCCCTTTCTCTTTCTCTATTTTACTACGTCCATTACCTATTATTCATTGACTGAACAAATGTCAACTTAATCCATCAATATAAGTGAAAAGTTATTTAGTGTAAGACTGATGATGAAAAGATGACTATAAAAATGAAACCAGAAGAAAAATAAGACTTATTTTATTTTCTTATATAATCATGTACATACACTTACAATAAACTATATGCTATAGCTGATTAATGGAACACACAAACACAGCAAACAAAGAACAGTTTTCACTACCGTCCTTTACTTCCAAATGTGAAACTTTTATGATTTGTTTTTCCAACAAATTTTGACTTCTTGCCCTGAAAATAAAAATTAAAAGTTAATAAAGAAGCACACTTTGATGAAAAGACAATCTAAACTGTTACATAATAGCAAATAAAATACATTCAATTGATTGGTTATGATTGTTGCAAAAGAAATGTAAAATGAAAGGAGATTTCTGAAAGAATAACTGTTATTTAACACTTCACAACCTACACAATTTAACCATTTTCAATCACTATGAACCACACAAACCAATGATAGTAAATAAGATTATATATGTTTTTTCAGAAAAATGAGCACAGTAAGCAAAACATATTTTAATTCACTCAGTCTCACACAAAATGAGATCTCAAAACATTATTAAGGGGATGTGTAATCAAAATTATAATTCAGTATAGTTTGTCCCTAACACACGCACACACACACACAAAAGTCTGCCTGTAAACATCAATAAAAGGATATGCTCATGCAACAAACAATTAACAGGATTTTCTCCAAAATCAACATTCTCCTATCAATCTCACTTAAGGCCCTGCAAATTTTGCTTCAGATCTTTTAATTCTGAGGAATGCTGTACTGGAAGTTCCATACTACCTTTTTAAAATTTTCTCAAACTCTGATTTTTTTACTAAAATTTCAGGCTCAAAGAAATGATTAAAATAAATATGGCAAAATTACTATTTTTGTAACTGTCTCAATTTCCAAAAATTCAAAAATGCATGTTTTTAATATTACAACAAGATAAAAAAATATAGAAACAAAATTGATATAAACAAATAATACACCAGTAAATAAATCTTTATCACAATAAAATGAGTGTCAAACATTACTTTCTTTCATTGAATATCTATAAATTAATGTATTATTTAAGTAAAACAGACTTATTGGGCTAGTTTGCTATATTTAAGGATCATTAAATTAGAATAATATAATCTAATGTACGTACAATTCCTCACAAAATTAGAACAAATGTATATGACCAGATCAATATTCTGTAAAGATTATTGACAAACAAAATCAAACTACAATAATTGAAAGATGTTATTAATGAGTCAATTAAAAATTCACATACCTTAGGTTTGAATTTCCCTTTGTTCTTTGACTGTTTTGAGGACTCCTTTGTGCTGCCACCTTGGAATTTGTTGTAATCCACTTTGCTGAAATCAAACGCTTGTGACTCCTCAGTGCTTTTCTCGCTTAATGTTTTGATTTCGGCTCCTGCTCCTTGTGTTTTTTGACTGAGTTTTTTCTTCTTTGAAGGTCCTGGAGAATCATCTGTGGGATTATCTCTTTTACCATGAATTTTTTCCTTGGGAGGAGGGAGGGGTTTATCACTATTATCAACTCTGGGTTGCTTAGATTTGTTTTGTGGTGTTGAAGCTTCAGCTAAGTTGTCATCTTTTTCCTCTTTAATTCTTTTTCTTTTACCAATCTGAAAATTAAATGAAATATTATACAATGTACCAAATTCTTCAAAATAAAATATTCTAAAACTATTACCCATTATCTTTTGTCTAATAACTCAAGAAGAGTCGGAGCTAATCGAGTGGGTTGCCCTTTCCTCTTACCAGAAGTGTTTGTGTAGGTGATGAATGGCCAGTGCAATGATCTCAATTTACTAGTCAGATAAGACACAACATTAAGGTAGATCAATTTGTTGTACTCACGAGGCTGAGTGCATCTCGATCCAGACTCAATCCTAAGATAAAAATTTCCCAGGATTGCCCGGAATCAAATCCCCAGACCTTTGGATCCAATCTTTCAGATCTTAGCTAGCCGTATTATCCTCTACACTATGGAGGTGGTCTTCTAAAACTATTATTTGATTAGAATTTAATAAGTGAATTGGATTGTGAATGAAGAATTATTTGACAGAAAGTGACATAAAAATTAACTGCAGAATTTGGAGACAATTTCATTTCTATTTCAGGAATTCACTCCCTTATTGACACAAAGATAAACAAATCTATATTCGAAAACGCTAAGCCTGCTTGCTATTTCAAAGTCAGCTATCAGACAAAAAGTTTCATTCTTTGAGTGTATTGCAAGGTTACTGACATTCACTGGAGAAGGAAATGGTCAGGTTTAATGGATGAAATAAGATGGGCAACAATCAGAAGGAAATGACATGAAGAATTTAAAAACATAACTAATTTGCACTGGATAAAGGCAATGAATAAGAGCATAAGAGGTAGCAAGATGGTGAATGTATACGAAAAGAAGGAGACAACAAAAAGAAAGACATTTGGAAAAAGAGGCTGGCAAAGAACTGCTATGGATGGACATCCTTGGCCCACCAAAGATCGAATGCAATCTAGCACTAAAACGATCATTTCATTATTATTCACACAATTCTTTTTAACTATTCTATGATTGATTGATAAGTGATTTCAGTCACATTAATTGCTAAGAGCACGAGTAGAGCATGTCTTCCCTCAGGAGACTGTGGTTATCTTCCCCTGCTGGATGGTTTGGCGCCAACCCACCTGGCAGCTGGAGTGAGTTCTAAGCTTCCGACTGGTCTCCCGGCATGTATAGTACACTAATGCATGTACGTGTGTGAATGAATGGGGTGAGGATAGGACAAGGAAGGGGAAAGAAGGAAAGATCACATTCAGTCCATAGCCTGTTTGTTAGGGTACTGCTTTGGCTTTTGCCTGCTATTGGTTGGAGAAATCACAGAAAACTACTGATCAGAGCAGCCGGCCACTAGAAATCTCCACACAGTGACTGAAATCGACCTAGCTATTTAGTTAGTGTCAAAAATCCTGCCACTAGCAAAAATTGGGACTCGAACCTACGACCTCCCAGTCACTATTCTATCAAACACAAGGAATAAATTTACCTGTTTCTGTTTATTGATTGACAAAACCGGTTCTTCTTTAACTTCTTGTTGCAAGTCCTGAAAAAATAAAAAATGATTTCACCCTCATTATAAAACAAGTTACCTATGATTCTACAACTGTTAGGAAGTCTGAATTTAGGTACATATGTCAAATGTGGATTTTCAAAAATCTGTTGGTCATTGAGTATCAAAAATATTGGGTATTTTCACTTATTTGCTGCAACAGTGTTCTAGTTCAAAAAACCAAGATTTTTCAGGACTTTTTTTTTCTGTTCTTTCAAGTTTATTTACACAATTCACAGATGCCATGTAAGTAGTTGTAAATTCTCAAAGCATAGTTGTGTCATAATGCCAGTAAAAACTAGTTGGGAAATTATCTCTTAAATTACTATATATAACCTCATTGTCAAATTTTGAATTATTTTACATTTTATATTGTTCTTAAAGAATTTATGTTTCGAATCCTATTTTCATCAAAATACTGTACAAATGTTTTAAACCAAAAGCCTAAAATATCTGAGCAATATTTTATGACATATACCTCAATCGAGCATTGTTAAAAGTAATCATGTAAATATAACCTATTGTCTTTTGAATCAAGTTATTCTACAGTATTTATTAAACAGCATCCATTTGCATGAATTAAACTACAAATACAAAATGCATTACAAACCTTGGTTCCGCAAGATGTTATTATCAAAACATATATCATTCTGTACATTTTCATGGAAGAATCACAAAAAGGTCGACTTCCATTTTAGAAATCTGATTGCTTGAATTCATTTCCACATGAGCATTTATTCAAATACATTCGTTGTAAGTATGTTATTGGCCACTGAGAAAAAGTTAATTTCCTATTTTAGACTTACTAATGTTTATGTATGATCAAAACTATGAAAACCAACGACATCTACAGGGAAAATTACAATTTGATTCAACTGTCTCATTTTAGAAGAAAATGATATATTAAATAGTATTTGAAATTGGATCTGGAATTATCACTGCTCATAAAGTTGAAATAAATATGTTGTAATAAAAATTAATAAAATATTTCTGAGTGGCATTACAAGTACTTTGATAAATGAAAACGTTTCTTTTTCTTTGAATTACTGAATTCATAGTGATACAGTTGAATCAGTCTGAGACTGCTAATAATACCTAGAATTTTAGATCATTCGTAGATAATTTTTGATACGGTTTGTAAAACATACATATAAGGCGTACACACACATTTGACATTTAAATTGAAGATAAAGCTCTGACATGATTTATGAATCACAAAATCTCTGGCAGATTACTTTTTTCTATTTAAAAAATAAAATTTCTGGTCCTTTTAAGTACATCCTGGCCAAAACAATGCTGAATTGTGGTCCAATATTCAAAGGGCTATTCCAAATTTGTATTGTAATTTCTTTTTGGTATCAACAACTTTTACAACATGCATTTGTTTTTAATAACAAGCAAATGTACTAGTAAACAATCTATTAAGCATGAACTATACTGATTAAACAACTTATATGGATATATCTGTCTTGACCAACTCATCCTGATTAAATTTGAATACTGTGAAATTTGTCCATGATCACAATTCATTTGAAGCTCCAGTGAGCATCCGGAAACTGTGCCAATCAAGACGTTTTTGCACTAATGAATTAGTTAAGTAGGGTATGAACAAAAACTGTGAAATCCTTCTGAATTTCACAATTTTGGTTCGTAGTATTGAAGATTAAGGGGGGGCTCAGAAATATTTATAATATTGTCTGTTTCCAGGACACAGATGAATTTAAAATTTTTATTAAAATTGAGATGTTTTACTATACATGGTAGTTTACTACATCTATGAAAAATAAAGACATCATCACAAATTTCTTATGTCTGGGATATTTTTAAACAAATCTTCAGATATATGAGAATACAAATTAGTGAAGAAGAACAACAAGAGTGAAAATACATTAAATGGGGAAGTCAATCACAATAAAATAATCCCTTAAAATTGTCTGATATCTTTTGTAATACGCTGAATCTTTGTAGGTAATTGAGATCAAATTCAGAATTTTCAATTCACATATGAACACACATACCTTATTTGGTTTTCCACTATCAGCTTCTTCTACAGCAACTCTTGCTTGAGCTTCTAATGCTTCTTGTTTTTCCCTTTCTTGAGCTTCAATGAAGGGCCGTGCACTCTTGTAACGTTCATATGGGCTTACAAACAAATGTCTTGTTTGTGTGTCCAATGTATCACATTCTTCACTTTCCGCCTATTGATCCAAAATTTACAAATACTTAATATTGATTAAATGAACAATTCATCTTAGACTTTAGAAAGGAACTGAAGGGCTCAAGGGCAGATAGTTCCACACCATTTCAGAGAGAACCCGAGTTACAAGGTAGAATGTGTCTCATCCCTAGTCCTACATTGGATCTGTAACAAACTTTACTGCATTATTTAGCCATTTGTGAGCAAAATTTAATACTACTTATAGATGCAACCTGGGCAGATAAGAGCCATATGTGATATAGAATCCATGGGAACAGTGTATGAATTTTTGTAAAATTGAATTGATGAAATTAAAAGAGAGACCATGCCCTTCAACTATATAATTTTAAAAATGTTTATGTTTAAATCATTGCCACCTCTTGGTTTGGGTGACCCCCGTCCCTGATGATGATGGAATATCATGTGCTCTTCCTATATCTAAGCCCCTCCAGGATTCCCTCCCCATACCTCAGCTGCTGAAGTAGCCTGTAAGCAATTCTTGACCAGTTTACTGTAGTGCCAAGGTACCCCTTAAGCCCTTCTAGGATGTAAATAACCAAGTATACGAAGGAATTATGGACAGATTGTAACTATTAATGCATTACACAAACTTTGAGAATGCCTCCAAGCCATGAACATGATATCATTCAAGCCTTCCTTGGGATTTAAGCATGTCCTCTCTATATCAGTTGCTACCTCTAGCTATAATACTAACCAGGGCATACTAAATAATTAATTTGTTTTAATATACTAATATCCAAAGAATATTCTTGTCTATCACATGTTCTGAATCTAACAAAACATTTTTTTTTTATTACACTTATGTCAGCAAATTTAATACAGAAGCACAGAACTCATTAACAAAGTTTTCATTCTATTCAACTTAAAACCTCTCAATAGGTTGCATATTGACTAACAAACATTGAAATGGATTTTAATAATTACAAACATCTTACAAACAGTACAAATGGCATGAAAACTGAAGATAAATGAAATGCAATGGCCCACATGTTGTTTTGCATTAGTACTCATGTTTCACATTCTGCCGCACAAGGCGAGGAATGGAGAGCATTCATTGCACTGAATAAATTATACAGCACATACGTACTATTTCATTGCCTTGGCATTAATTGCTTCTAAAGAGGAACCTCATTTGATCCAATTGTAAGCCTAGAATGTGTGAAATACCTTTTCATTCATCTTCATTCTTCATGCCACTTTATTAAATACTGCTTAAGTAATATATTTCTCTACACCTCTCCTATGGTTGCAAGAAATACTCAAAATGGCATTATATTTTCGAATTCATTTGGGGGAAAAAAAATGTAATTTTCTGACCGAGTGACTGGCTTAAGAGAACTACAATCATTCTGATAATTTTGTTCACTTCCACTCTTACCATGAATAAAGACTACCTTGCTTAAAATGATGAACAATCAGAAGAATATACTGAAACGTGGATTAGATTGTGAGTCCCGTCACAAAAGGATGATATTCGAGAAAATTAAGAAAGAAAGAAAAAAATATCACAGAGCTGCGCAATACTGGGTGGTCCAATGACACAGAAGGTGTTATTCAATTTATGGAAATGTTTCGAAGCAAATGGAGCAGTGACCATAGGTCAGGTACGCCATCATTAAGTGAGGAGACAAAATTTAAAGCATTACAAGCTATTGTACACAGTCCTAAAAGACTACTCACAGACTTCAGAGATGTGTTGATGCAGAGGGAAAACAATTTGAAACAATGTACTATAAATGATTAGAATAAATAACTCACATCAATGAGCAGTGACTTTTGGCCCATCCTTGTATAAGGAATCTGTTGGATCAATTAATTATGAGAAGTACCTTGGCAAATATTAATTAAAGATTAATATCATACCTCAGATTCAGAGCAACTATCAAACAATGTAATGTGCGGGGATGGATTATGATATTGCTCTGAGTTTTGCACATTAATAAGGGATTGTCCCAATGGATTTAAAACAGTAGGCAGATCTTCACGAAAATCCTGCCTGTACTTCATGTCATGAGGACAATACAATGGGCTGTCCAAATCAAGCTTATTCCACACTACTTGGGCTATTGGTCTCATACGAGCCTCGTCTTCCATAACAGGCTGCAAACACAAGAACCGGGAAGATCATACAAAGCAGTAGAGTTCATAAGAAACAGCATACATGAATAGTGCAATGTTGTTTTTTTTTCTAATAGTAAAACTACAAGTGCTAACCCTTGTTAGTGATTGTTCTCGAGCTTTCAAGACTATCTGATGCAATTTCACCAGATTCTGCCGAACAAGGGGAGGTATGGGGCTACAGAGGGCTAAAATGCCTTGCATTTCCCTCGGCAGCACATCAGCAATGCTCATCAACATGTGGTTGGGCAGAACATATCTGCAAAAAATGAGAATAATAAACAAATGGAAATGATCAGAAAAAGAAAGCATACATTTTAAAGCAACATGAACCTAAAGTCATGAACGTTATTTATTTATTAGGGTTCAGGAGTCTTTCAACTGCTGAAGTCACTCAGACTCATGGTTGATGATTAATGAATAGATGCAAGCGATAAAGATGAGGTGAATGATAATGATGAATGAGAGCCAGGAGAAACCAGAAGATCATGAGAAAATTTGCTAATAGCTTCATACGTCCACTACAAAATTAGCACAGATTGGCTGGAGTCTGAACTTGAGCCCCAGTGAGGGCAAACGTAATTGCATTCATTACTCCTTGAGCACCACCACTTCTATAAATCTTCATAACTCATTGAAAAGATGTTTTTAAATGATCTATGAAAGCAGGCATATTCAAAACACTTTTTGACTAAGCAACAGCTAGACTGACATACCCAGTGCTCTCGTCTTCTTCTCTGGCAGTTTTGTCTCTCCACAAGTACAACTCGCGAAAAGCATACATCTGCCTGTTGTCAAACATTTTCTTGTTTTTGCGATACAAATCCAAGTGACTGTCCTCTGTACATAAAGGTTTTTCATATCTCTGAAAGGGCAAGATTAAATTGCAATATAATTCTCTTTGTCATTTTCTTTAGTACAGCAGACAGGAAAACTTTATGACAATAGTCCATTCCAGTTAAAAGTTTTAACACTTACCCTCTTACATACTTCTTTGCTCTGTTCTAGAACAGACAGTAGGAGATTAGTCTGACCGTTAGCTCCTTCAATTAGAGCATTTTTCATTAAATCATAAACATACAGTAAATAATGAGTATCTTCTCTTGCATAATTTACAAGCTCATTGGGAAGAGGTCTGCAAGCATATCAGTCATTAAGAAACAAATTCATACTTTCCAGGAGGTCAACTTTAATTGCCCTTTAATTTAACATAATATTTTCATTGTCATCTTTTCATAATCAAGAACATTCTTTATACAACATATGATCTCTAATGGTACCAACCTAATTCGCCAATCGGCCAACTGAAATTGTTTATTCACAGCTACATTGCAGTAGTGTTTCAATAAATATGCCAAAGAGAGATGAGTAAAGTTTAGCATTCTTGCAGCCAAATGTGTGTCAAACATATTTACAACATAAAGACACAAATCCCTTTGAAGCCATTCAACATCGCAAAGAGCACCATGAAATACCTAAATTCAAAAATATTAATTAAAACATTTTCTATTGAAGTTCTATGTTTGAACAATAAAAGAGGAATGAAAATACCTTGACAACTTTAGGATCAGTAAAAACCTCATTTAAAACATACAACTTGTCACGTAATTCCAAAGTATCAATAACATAATCTGTGTCCCGCGTTGATATCTGCATCAAGCATGTAATGCCTTGGAATGAGCGATATGAATGATGCTATAAAAAAGAACACAATATATTTTTTTTCACTTAATGAATTCTCTCTGAAGAAAAAAGTTTTGATAAAGTGATACAAAGAATAAAGCCTTAGCTATTCAATTTTTTTTTTTTTTTTTTTTAATACAGTGAATCGTGTAAAAAACACACTTACCTCCAGATCCACAGCTATTTCTCTATATTTCTTCAAATCATTCAGAAGATTCTGAACATCATCAGGGGTATTTACCATCACCAAAGGTGTCTTGTCTAGATCTGGATACTTCTGTGGTACTACCTTTTTTAACTGATCTTCTGGAGGTTTAAATAAATCCAATTCATATTCATATGGATGACTAAAACTGAGGAAATTACAATATTTCAATGAGAAAGATATCAAAATTCCCGTATTATGATCAATTTACATCAATACTGTGTTTCTTAACATTTCAGTTTCAATAATAACTACTTACCATTCTCCAGTTTCACTCAACTCCACTAATATAGAAAGTGGCTTTAAAGCATTTGGCTTTTCTCTGATACGAGGTTCGAAAGGGTTTGAACTATTGTCAATTTTATCTTTAAATTTTATCTGTGGTCTTTCAATATTTTTCGCAGTTAACAGTCGTAAAGGAACCTTGGTCACAGAGTTAGTTTTGCTTGAGTCCTATAAATTACAATATGAATTACAATTAGAATTTATTTCCTAACAAAAACATATGCTATAGAACTAACAACAATCACTTTACCGAAATATTGCGATTCCAACTTCCACCACTAACTACACGTGTAGTATTTCCAGTGGATTCAATAAGAAGTGGTTCAGGATTTCGTCGAATTCCAGAAAGTTCATCCAAGTTATAGCCCTGCAATTTAATATAAATACAGAATGAAATTTCAGATTCATAAGGAATCTCAAGACACATTAATCACATTCTCATCGATTTAAAATTTAACTGAAAGTAACAACACTTTAGAACACTAAAAAGGTTATCTCTCTGTAAAAACAAAATCACTGTTGCTGGGAACATTGCAGCATGCATTTCTATTTATGATTTAATTTTTCATAGTTGGTTTTCAAAAAAATGTGTCTACAAACATTATTAATTACAATTCTTGCAACTAGTTAAAAATAATGACATAAGTTTGGTTTCTTTGTTTCTAAAAACTTTACATCTAACTTTTCCAATGTTGACATATTTATCAACTTACCACCCGTTCCAGAACTGTATCATTGCATTCCACAAGCAAGTCGTATTTCTCTTCTATGTCTCGCATTGCAATATTACCCCTTATTCCTTGATGGCCAAGTACCATGTTCATTCTATTAACAGAAAATATACATACATTTGAATTTTCCTTAACATTCTATTTCTATTTTTTTTAAATAATGCAAAAATATCATTAAATGTAAAATTAAAACATATTTTATTACATTTCTAAGATTCTTCGTCCTTCACAATCCATTATTTTTTGAAATGATGGATATGCATTATAAAGATCCCAAGAATGTCCAGAAGGAAGTTTACTGGAAAACTTTGTCGCTTCCATGATAGCTTTAAAGCCAGCCTGTAAAAATTAAAACACTGTGAAAATTCAACATTCTGCACGAAGGAATTACGACTGCAATTAAGTTAACATGCCTGAGTAAAATCTTCGATCGTGTTGAAACCAGGTAAAATTTCTCTCTCTGCATTTTCTTCCCTCCCATCACCAGGAGACACCATTTTGTCACTTAATATTGCAAAATACGTTTCTTTCGAAGAGACTGAAATTCAATATTTAGGAAATACTCCAAAAAGTAGATGACATAACCTCACCACACCAACAGTATCATCAACACATTCAACACTGGTGCCATGCGTTTTTCATTTGTTGTGTGTGCCACCAAAGAGCTTGCATAAAGTATCCTATTATCGAGAACTTCCAAGAATTTGGAATTTGCCTCGAAAATTCTCGCGAGGGAGCCAAATACTCCTTCAACTTTTTTTTAGAGGAAAAATCATGTAAAGAAAAGCTAAAAATAAAAGGAAATTCTTTGGAGTGGATTCGGAAACAGGGTCAACTTCTTTCACAAAGTGGAGAAATCTTCTAGCCTAACTAGGTATTAAGGCGACCTTGGCCAAAGAGCCCTTCGCTCCTCTTAGGTTACTTCAAATTAGGGTTGTTATTTGTTTTACCGAGTATACTCTAAATAGCGACCCTTGTGAGAATCGCGTTTAGCACGTGCCATGTGTGCCATACTACCATACATACGTCTCTGGCACTGAGTGATGTATGTCGAGAAAAGTAGGAAATCTAAGGGACACATTCTGCCCCTCACATATTTTAAAGCAATCGAGAGTTGCCATTAATCGGCCGTTAAGGGCGTTTTGTCCATGGTGGTTTCTTTCCACCATGGTTTTGTCAGACTCTTCTACTCCTTCATTTGTTATCTGAAATTTAGGCGCGAACTGTAGCTGTGTTTAAACAAAAATAAATGCAGAAAACAATTTGTGTGCGAAATTACCTACACAGGCAATTCTAATTCGTTAAAGAGACCTTGAAGATAACACAAGAGCTCTCAGAAGCCGAAAGTTACGAATCTGCCTGCTTTAAAATTAAAACTGTTGCGAAAAATATGTGTGTGCGATCCAGGTATTTTTTTTTATTTTTCTTCATTAAGCAGTAATTTCTATAAGGAGTAGCAAAACCGTTTGACCTCAGTTGCAAATGTCTCGTCAACTTGGGTGGATGAACACCCAAGTTTGCTTTACAACGGCATTTCTTACGACGCATTTAGCAGCTTGGTGAGCTGAAATATTGCGCGTGCGTATCGTTTTGAAAGCCATCTGTAGGTGAAAATTGTCTACCCTGAAGTTGCTTCCGTGCAGCTGCCCGTTGACTAATTTTTATAAATCAAAATTATAAATTAATATTTTACAATTAAAAGCTTAAAAGTTATTTAAAACCCAAGGACAATTATTGTCTACGGCTATTTGTTTGTTTCTCCATCTTTAAAGTCTGTCAATTAGATGAACAACGCAGTTTGAGATGATTGCAGACACATTACTTGCATTTCCTCGCATTGTCTTTATTTAAAAGTTTCCCGCTTAACCTCTTTCAGGCTTCAACTATCGCCCGTTAAGGGCACGACGTTCGCTTGCGACCGCTGCGCAACATTTCTGTAGCAAGCAGGGATATAATGCGCTAAGAAGGTGCAATCGGTAGCATAAACGCGGGAATTCCAAACAAAGCAGGACGTCGCTTGATATTTCGGGCCGGAAACATCAAGACTCTTATGTTAGGGTTCTGATCTCTACAATTGTTTCATACAGTTCACGTATTCAAGGCTCTGAGCTAGAATCTTATATATTTGAATTGTTTATTTATATGCGTATACAGTGTAGGGATTCTGGAACTCGAGAAGACATGCGCAATTCACTTCCCACACACACATATCATATTTTACTCGTCTTACACTATTGGAAACTGTGAATCAATAAATATTATTTCAGCTACAGTTGCACCTTACAACAATAATTGTATTACAAGAAAGTTAAGTAGACATTTTATATAACAAATTGTCAACACTTAAACAGTGCAACAAATTTATGTTTTTAAAAAAAATTCTGCATTTAATTTATTCAAATTCTGAGTCGTAAACTCTCTACTGTTTCAAAGAACGATTTACCAAATGTAAAAAAAAAGTTTATTGGTCAAACACAATATTTAATAATAAATAAATTTTAAGAAGCAAGAACAATGATGGTTTTGGAGTTTGTTTCTCATCTTTAAAGTCGATCACTTAGATGAACAACGTATTTTGGGTAAAGTAATTAATTTTTAGAAATAGTTACTTTTATTCTATTATTATTAGATATTAACATTTTTATGATTTCTCAAATTAATATGTAACATTTTATATATTTTAACTTCAAATTAGTATAATTCAAGTACACTTAACTATTTATATTCATATTTATTTGACAATGAGTTACATCTTAAGTCAGAAAACATTTTCATCACATTATTTACGAGCCAGTATCTCTTTTTTGTCGCATAAGTTACAGCTCAAGAATTAGGAAAAATAATAACAAAAGTTGAGAAATATACGGAAATTTTCGCGTTCTTTTTCAACTCAAGGTAAAGATCGGACATTGCTTTCCTGCTTTCAGTCCAAATGTAGAAGTTCAAATTCATTTGAAATGTTCCTGCTTTCAATTCAGATGTAACAGTGCTGAATAAAATTTAATTACACAACCTACGTTTTAAAAGAATAATGGTCCGTAAGGGTAACACTTGCCATTATAACGAATAGTCATTGAGGAAGAATTCGCATTCACAAATTTATTCTCCCCGATAACAACGCGCCGCTGGCAACTGCTGTCGCCTCGGCCGTCATTACGCTTGTTCCTCCGCCTGCGCCTCCTCCGAAGCGCGTGTTTATAAAAGGGGGCGGCCGCTGGTCGGCGGCAGAGGCCGCTGTCGCACTACGCTCCGCGCTTCGACTTTCCCCCGCCCCCGCCGCCGCCGCCGCCAGCCACGGGGCCGCCGCCGCCCGCTTTCCAGTCGCCGCTCGCCTCTCCAGTCGGCCATGCGCACCTGAGCCCAGCAGCGCCGCTCGCGCCCACTGCACGCACACCGCCGCCCGCCCGTTCCCTGCGCCCAGCGCTGCGAGGAGCTCGCTGCTCGAGCCACTTTGACCGAAGCTCTTCGAAATGACAGCGCCTCCGGCACCTGCTGAGAATGGGTGAGTGATACATTTGGGGTTGCTTCAGGAAGAGCATTTCAGCGACGTGGGTCTTTCACATCTCGCAGCGTTGGTGTGACCTGTCAGCAGATCAAAACGTGTCTTATGGTTTTTAGTGTCTTTTCATTATTTCCTACTTGTCTACAGGTACTTATTAAACACTGCCTGCAATGTATTTTTTATATATATTATATTTGAAGACTTTTCGAACGTGTTACATACTCTAAGTACTCTATAAACTTAAAACAACGAAAGTTTCTTTCCTGGCATCAGTCTGCCCAAGCCATATTTCTGTGATTTCATGTGAAATCCAAGACGATTTGTGGCTTCCGAATTCTCCGGATCCCGTTTCCTGTGCGTTTAATTTCATCTTGGTTGATTAATTTGATGATTCCGATCGCATCAACAGCTGAGGTCATTATTCCCGTAAGGGAAGTGCATGCCCCCCCCCCGTGAGATGAGAGTGAGCTTCCCCCGCTGGATGGCGAGGTGCGGCATCGACTCACCTTCCGGGCAGCGAGGCACCGCCCCAGCCGGGACAAGCTCTAAGCGCCTGACCGGTATGCATCATGCATGCGTGCTAGTGTAGGGCATGTAAATGTATGAAAGTAAGTAAGGGAGTGAGGATAGGACGAGGTAGAGGACGGAAAGACCGCGTGCGCTCCGTGGCTCGTTTGTCAGGGTTCTGTTCCGACATTAGCCTGTTATTTATCCCGGAATTGATCGGAGAAATCACGGAAAACTACCTATCAGAGCAGTCGGCTGCAAGAATTCTCCTTCAGACAGTGGTTGAATTTGACCTAGCTATCTAACAAATGTCGAAAATCGTTCCACCGATGGGACTTGAACCTACAACCTTCCGGTCGGAGTTACTGCGGTGAATCAGTTGATACCTTGAGCCCCCTCTCCCGGTTTCATTTAATTGCGTCTCCAAGTTCATAATAACGGGGCACGCAGTTTTTTCCTTGTTTATTGATTTTCATGACACATCATGCAGACATCGCGGAGAAAGTGGCGTCACTAGTTCCATTATTAATTTGCAGCTTAGTTTTTAAAGAGTAATATTCTTCGGAGATAAATTGGGAGTCAATTTAGAAATATTGAGTTAACATGGCTATAAAACTCATTTTCAAACCAATGTTTAAAAGCAACAGCTACAAAAATTAGGGGAAAAACTTGGTTAGATTGGCGGTGAAAGTTGTACCCATACAATTTGAATGATCTTTACCGTGCTTTCTCTTCAAATATCCTATTAACCTGCCACATTTCAATGAGAACCGTGGGCATGTGTTGCAGAAACTTATTTCATGTCGTCCATCAACCTCCTTCATTTTGAGAACGGATAGTTTCTCGTAAGAAAGCTAGTATCGTACCTTCCTCTGGCAGTAGGTCGGGTACAAACGTTCGTGCGCATTTCTTACATTGGAACCGGTCTCATGTCGTACTGCAAATATCTCCGGTTGCACATCGCCAGAGGCTCCACACATTCGGCATTCGCTGAACAGCGAGCTAATGCTCACATAATCCGGAACAGCTGATGAGTCTTAAAGACCGATACGCGATGGGTAGGTAATACCCGTCTACACTATTCGGGATTCGCCGAATGCCGCCCGTGTGGAGTCGCATTTAGATATAGGCGGTGTGCTAGCTCCAATGTCGTTTGACGAGTTGCCTGTGAGGCGGCACGGTATCGCGGCTTAATCCACGTCAGACAGTTGTGAAGTTTGCGATTCTTCCGTTAAAAACTCTAAGGCAAAAACTAAGGGCCGACCCGTATTTATTTCATTTAGCATATGATGTGAATAGCGGGAAGACGGCACAATGACCCTAGTTACGCAAATTGCTCAACTCGCTAGGCACCGCTTGTCAAGTCTCTTCGGAGCAGCGCAAGGGGTGCATTAAATGAAGATACGATAATGATGATGTAGATGGCGAAAATGACTAGTGATGCGACGAATAGCGAGCGGGAATTAAGAAGCTGATATAATGTGGGGGGGGGGGGAGGGAGGGACGGAAACGAGAGAAACCGGAGAAAACAAGGCGCGAATCCGATTTGTCACCCACAAGTTTCACGTGGTTCGTCGGGGATCAACTCCACTGCCCAGAAGCGGAAGAAAACTTCAGTCCTCTGGCCACTACTCATGTAGTCTCTTGTTGTCTGCGTCAAAATTACGAATTAGTAATTGAATGAAGTATTAGAATGAAATGAAGACTTAGAGCAAAAAAGGACGTAAGTGCCATTTATGTTAAATCTACAGGATTTTTACCAGGATAATGATCAATGAATGAAGCCCTGTAACATAAATATGAACCAAAGTACACATTTCTTGATAGTGTTACGGGGTGATTATAAATGGTTGGAGTTGTAAGTGTCAATAGATGTAAGGGTGATTATATATATATATATATATATATATATATATATATATACACGCACGTTATATATCATATTTCTCGAAAGTATAAAAATGACACGTTTATTCTTTTTTTATTTCAAGCCTTTTAATTACGAATTAGCATCACAATTAAGAATTAGTGATTCACGAACGGTAAGACGATGCTGAGTAACGATTACTAAGAAGTTATAGGAAGATTGATCTCAAAAATATTTGCCCAGAACTTCCCCTCCTTGGCGCATACCCTGAGGGCGAGTCGAGTTGAACGCCGAGAGAACGCCGCGTCGCTGGGGGCGGGCGAGGGCGGCGCTCGACGATTCCGCCTCAGCAGCACAGGATTCACGCACTCTCCGACAGCTGCACTAACCGCACGCTGGCTCCGCTCAGATTTTCAACGTTTTAAAGTTCCGTTTGAATTTTTACCTTGCTTCCCATTTTTAGATGCTTACTATGTTCTCTTCGGAAATTTACATTTCTGTGATCGTTTTATGGGTAATTCTAGATCATTCTTTTCACAATTGAACCACGTGTGGGGAGTTATATTGTTTTAAAATATAGTGCAGTTTCTTATCTTGAGTTGGGTCCCCTTTAAAGACAATCCTCTCCAGAAATGATTAATAGCTGTGATTTACTCTTTTCTTCGTGTGGCATACTTCAGTGATCGTTGATCAGCACTACTACAGTAGAGTTAAGAGTTTGCGCG